GCCTGTTTTGTGCCAACGGCGTATTTTTTCGGCTACGCTCCCGCCACTGTTCCAGAAGGCTATCCGCCTTCCAGCGATGGCAGCCATGAAGAAAGAGATCATGGACCTCGCCGCCAAGTTCGGCAAGAAGGACGAGGCCCAGGGCGCCCTGGAGGCCATCGCCACGATTGCTGCGGAGAAAGGCGCCTCTGCAGAGCCGTTCCTGGTCGGCGTGCTCGACAAGGTTCTCGAGGCGGCGAGCGACAAGTCTAAGAACGTCGCCGTCGCGGCGGTTGCCGCCGGCAAGGCCATCGTGGACGCCATGAGCCCATTTGCCATCGACGCGGTCATGCCCCACCTGCTGAGCGGCCTGGGCGTGAAATCCAAGCCTCCGACGAAGGAGGCCACGCTGAACCTGATCTCCTCGATCGCGGAGAAGAGCCCCAAGGCCGTCGGGTATGCGCTGGTCACCTTGTGCGGCCCGGTGGCCGAGCTCACCTGCGACATCAAGAAGGAGGTCAAGACTGCGGCGCTGGCAGCTATGACCGCGATCGCAGGCTGCACCGGGAACAGGGACTTGGAGCCCTTCCTTCCGGCGGTCGTGGAAGCGGCTTCCTCCATCAGCAACACGCACAAGTGCGTGGAGAAGCTCGCCGGCTGCATCTTCGTGCAGAATGTCGAGACCCCAGCGTTGGCCATCATGTTGCCAGTGCTGTCCCGCGGCCTCAACGACAAGTCCGAGGAGGTCAAGCGAACGTGCTGCCTCATCGTCGACAACATGTGCAAGGTGGTGGAGGATCCGGCGGCCGTGGTTCCGGTGATGCCTAGGCTGGAGCCGCTGGTGAAGGCAGCCGTGGAGAAGATCTCAGACCCCGAGGCCCGTTCGGTGGCCGAGAGGGCGCACGGCACCATGTCCAAGGCTGCGGCCGGCGCAGAGCTCAAGCAGGCGACGGTGGAGAGCGCCACGGCACTGTTTGAGGCTAGTCTGGGTGGCAAGATTGACGATGAGGCCAGGCTGTCCTTGTCGTACATCGCTGCCCTGGCTGCCGCCGCCACCAACATGCGCTCGTACGACCCAGCGGACTGGAAGAAGAGCATCGCCATCTGTGCTCCCTACGGCGACGCGATCGACGAGATCCGCACAAAGATGGAGCTCGCATCCAAGCCCGCGGAGGAGGTCGAGGAGGAGGACACTGAGGGAGTGGATCTGTACAAGGGCGCCTTCTCCCTTGCATACGGTACTCTCACCCTGCTGCGCGACGCCAAGATGCACCTGAAGCGCGATCGCTTCTACGGGCTCCTTGGCCCCAACCAGTGCGGCAAGACGACGCTCATGCGTGCCATCGCCAACGAGCAGCTCGAAGGTTTCCCCAAGCGTGACGAGCTCAAGTCCATCTTCGTGGAGCATGAGATCGAGGATGAGGAGGTTGGCGTGCAGGACGACGGCTTCCCGATTCTGAGCGTGGACAAGCCGGGGTGGTGGTGGGTCATGCACACGTGCAACGACATTTACAAGATCGCGAACCCTGTGACTGAGGAGAAGGCGAAGGAGGTCATGAAGGAAACTGGATTCGGTTACCCTGGCGGCCCGGACCGCGCTGCCCACCTTGACAAACCCGTCACGTCCTACTCTGGCGGATGGAAGATGAAGATGCAGCTCTGCGCAGCGCAGCTGATGAACGCGGACGTGCTTATGCTTGACGAGCCCACTGGGCATTTGGACGTGGACAACATCAAGTGGCTGGAGGATTGGCTGGAGTCCTTCACAGGCAGCATCATCTGCACGTCGCACTTCTCCCCATTCCTCGACAAGATGTGCACCCACATCATCGATTTCCAGGACCGCAAGCTGAAGACGTTCAAGGGCGAGAAGGGCAGGACCTTGACGCAGTTCGTCGAGAAGTACCCGGAGAAAAAGTCGTACTTCGAGCTCAGCAACGAGATCATGAAGTTCGTCTTCCCGGAGCCTGGGGCCATGGAGGGTGTGAAGAGCCGAAGCAAGGTGATCTTGAGGATGGACAAGGTCACCTTCCAGTACCCCACCAAGGACAAGCCCACCATCATGGACGTCAGCCTGACCGTCTCGCAGGTCAGCCGCGTGGCCGTGATCGGTGCCAACGGCGCGGGCAAGTCCACCGCCATCAAGGTTTTGGTCGGCGAGCAGAAGCCCACGGAGGGCACCATCTGGAAGGCCTCGGGCCTGCGCATGGCTTACGTCGCTCAGCACGCGTTCCACCATCTGGAGAAGCACATGCAGGAAACGCCCACGCAGTACATCATGTGGCGTTTCGCGGGCAACGACGACAAGGAGAGCCTGGAGTTCAAGTCCACCGAGCTGTCCGTGGACGAGGAGAAGGCCCGGGCATGCAAGTGGTGCATCGACTCGACTACCGGCAACGTCCGGAGGTGCACTGACCCCAAGGAGGACGCCAAGAAGGCCAAGGTCGACGAGGCCGGCGCGGTGGTCCCCGACGCGTGCGTGAACCGGCGCCAGAAGAAGAAGGAGAAGACCTATGAGTACGAGGTGAAGTGGCAGTTCAAGGCCATGGACCAGACCACGTGGGTGGAGAAGGACATCCTCGTGAAGATGGGCTACTTGAAGATCGTGCAGCGCGAGGACGAGAGGCAGGCAGCTATGGCCGGACTCATGACCAAGCAGCTCACGCAGCCATCTGTGGAGAAGCATTTGGGCGATTTCGGCGTGGACCCCGAGTCCGCTTCCCACACCCAGATCAACCAGCTCAGCGGTGGCATGAAGGTCAAGATCGTCTTGGCCGCCTCCATGTGGCAGAATCCGCACGTCCTCATTCTCGACGAGCCCACCAACTACTTGGACCGCAATGGTCTCGGAGCCTTGGTGCTGGCCATCAAGGACTACAAGGGTGGCGTGCTGATCATCTCGCACAACAAGGAGTTCTGTGAGAACGTTGCCACTGAGAAGTGGATCATGAAGGGCGGCTACCTCCGCATTGAGGGAGAGTCCGTCGAAGCAGAAGACGATCAGAAGGACGGCAACAAAGTCGTTGAGGACGTCTACGACGGCGCCGGCAACAAGATCGACGTCAAGAAGAATGTGTCACTTAGCGCGAAAGATGCCAAAAAGGCGATCAAGGATCTCGAGAAGAAGCTGAAGGACGGCAAGAAGAAAAAGACGCTCTCTGAGGAGGAATGCTGGGAGATCGAGGACAAGCTTAACGAGCTGAAGGAGCAGCTCTCCAAGGAGTGATGCACTGCCCCTTGGTAGCAATTTTCCATTGCTGTTCTTAGGCCCGAGCTCCGCGCAGGCATCGTAAGCCGCTGGAGCAGGTTCACGACATGCGAAGGTTTCGATCAGAATGCACGGCGTTCGCAACTAGCGAGGCCGTTGGTCACCACCCACCAAACCACCCCAACCCAACCCGAAGGCTCAGATTTACCCTCGATTTCCAGTGGGGGGGGGTCGGGAAACATGGAAAAAACACATGTGGAACCCTTACCCCCCCAACCCGAAATTCGGGTCTTCGGGTTGGGTTGGGGTGGTCTGGTAGGTAGTCAGTTGGGGATTGGCGTGAAACGGCACGACCCTGTTCCCAACAGTGCCGGACATGTCATCGACCGTATCGGGGTCCAGAAAGTACTGCATCTATGTCTTGCCATGGTAACCTTGACGTCGTCAGTAGCATCGTCATACTCAAAGTTCTCAGCTTCTTCATCCTGGCGCAAGTCTGAAGGAGGAGAATACAGCAATGAGCAACGAGGCAGCATAGGTTGCGCTTTCGGCTGGCGCACCGTCAGCCCGCTGCTATTCATTACGCCACAGGTTACGAGTGGATGCGCCGTACTAGTAGGTTCTGCATTCCGCCGTCGGAATTTCGAACGGTCTGCTATTGGTTGCGCCATAGCATGCGCTCTCGGCCGCCGAAATGTTTCTTTCCTGTCGCTTGGGTTGCACCACAGCCTGCTTTGATGGTCTCCAACGTTCCAAACGTCCTGTCAATGTTTGCGCTATGCTTTATAGGTTGTGCACTCGGCCGCCGACATTTCAAAGGCCCCGCGGATGTGTGCGCCAGTGGTTGCTCATTCTTCCGTCGAAGCTTGTGAAGAAACGTGACATTGGTTGTGCCGCGGCCGCCGGATCCCCGAACGTCTTGTTAATGTGTGCGCCGTAGGTTGCGACAATTCTTGGCACCTGTATCGTCCTGGTGTTCGTTGCGCCCCAGTGTGCGGCCTCCTCCACCGAATCGCGCAAGGAGTTGCCGTTGGTTGCGCCATGGGTTGCACTCCTCGGCCGCTGCGACATATAACTTTCCATCAGGTGCGCCGTAGGTTACACCCTCTGCCGCAGAAACAAAAAGCCTTGCGACTATGTGCTTCATATGTTGTGGCCTTGACCTCAGAAAAGGTTGAACGTTCTCCTTACGGGCGCTAATAATGCAGTCCAGCCATGTGGGCTTTCCGAGAGAAAAGTCAGTGCTGCGCCCGCACAAGACACATGTGTCTGATGTGTTCGCGTTGGTTTCCCCAAACACTCGATGTCCGACGGGCCGAACACAGCATCGAACAAGTGCAGTCGGAAATGCCAGTTGTTTTGCAAGGGAAGTCGCGACGAAGAAAACAACGATGGCGCTGTTGTTCAGAGCGGGTGTTTCCAGGGGCCAGATTTGTTTCATCGCGTCGGGCGGCCCAAGAGAAAGCGACGCCGACCCAAAACCCGCCCGGACTAAAAACACACGACGGCCCCAGGTAATTGACAGCGTCAGCGTGCGTTGCTACGTCTGTCGTGCTTCATAGGTGCAGCGTGGGCCATGGGTCACTGTCCCCCAGGCTGTGAGGTCCCATGAGTAGGATGTTGCGCTCGAGGGAGGGAGGTCCAGCCGAGGAGCTTGGAAGGGGAGGGCGATGGAGGAGAGGCTGGGGGGATAATGCACGAGAAGGAGAAGTGGACGAGGAACCCAGCAGGATGGCGGAGGGAAGCAGGTGAGGAGGGGGAGGAGGTGGGGGAAGATTGAGGAGGAGGGGCTTATGTTTAAACGTTCTACGAGGACTCGGGCTTCATCCGACCGCTTCCGCACCACAAGGCCCCTTGCGCCTTCTTTGTCTGATCCTCGCTGAGATTGGTCACTCGTCATGCTCATGTGTGACATCCGATGGGTCGGTAGGGTTCGACCAGCTTCTGACATGGATTTCGCTGCCCCACATGACCGACCCGCTAACACCGCGGAGTATGTGTTTATTCTGCGAACGTGTCAGGGAAGCCTGGTAGGCAGGCGCATCAATCGGAGAGAGCGGCGTAGCCAGCCCGGCCGCTCCCCGTTTCAGTGGTACTGCATACGCGCACGTAGTCTCGAGGATAGTGGTATCCTCACGACGTGACCACCTGTCGCTATTTGTGACTGGAGCATCGACAAGGCTTGTTGGAGCTCCAGGTCCAAACAGTTCCAGAGGGTGGCAGCTAGGTCGCCGTTAGGCCAGGGCGTTGTCGCACGATGCACTCATGATAGGGGTTTTGGAATCACAAGTGCCGTCGCAGCGATGGCTGAGTATCAGAGATCACGAGCCCGATGCTGCTGTGAATGGCATTGCTGAGCCCACATCGAGGTTCCCGACTGGTTCCAGGGGTAAGCGAGCACGGAGGTCTATGGTTCAGTAAGTGCTTGGTCTTGGAGCCGTCCCTGGAGGTTCTCGTGGCTCCCTCGGGTTCTCTCAGATCTACGTTGGACCTCTTGGGGCCTTCTCGGCGTCCGTTCGTGGGCATTGGGGCCGCATTCGAGGGGGAGAGGGTGAGAGAGGAGGGAGGAGACAGAAGAGAGAGAGTCCCTGTTTGCGAAACCACCACCGTAGTACAGTACTGCTATCGCAGGCGCACTCGAGCCCTCTGTTGAGGGCGGTGTCACGTGCTGAACTGTGAGCACACCTAGGGTCCAGCACGCATCGAAATGCCTGAGAAGATGATGGCGGCGGCGGAGAACGACGGGAAAGCGGGCACGCACATGCACGATGAGGGGGATGAAGGGGAAGAGGACGATGAACAACTCTCGGGTGAGAGAGAGATAGAGAGAGAGGGGCCCAACGCGTGGCCGTAGGGCGGGGCCGTTGTCCTCGCCTCGGAGTGCAGGTCGATGGATCGTCCCCCCAGTTGGACGGCACAAACTCTCGAGGTGGGAGGAGAAGAGGGTCATCAATGTCACTCATGCTGGAAGGATGGGAGGAAGGGAAGAGAGAGAGAGAGAGAAGGCCCAAAAGGCTCCCCGCGACACTGCCAGGCGGTGTTGCACCCACGGGAGCACGGGCGGCCTAGTTCGGGGGCTCTGGTGATGCTTGTTGGCATTCGGGAAAAGAGGGAACACGAGGCGATAAGATAGAGCATGGGAAGGGGGGACACGTCAACCAACCAGCCAAGCGGATTTGCACCCTTGGGCGCAAGGTCGGCCTCTGATTGGGGCTCCGGTGGTGGCTGCGGAGCTCAGGGAAAGGAGACGCAGGGGAACACAACCCAGGCACGGGGGCACAGGGCAGGGACACGGGATGCGGTGAGCACGCTTGGTCAGCCTTCCAGCACAGGCCCTTCACACCCTAGCCGCACAAGGGTCCATCTTGCTCGGAGGTGGGAGGGAGGGGGGAAGAGGGCAGGGTTCTTAGAAGAGGTACATGGAGGGGGAGGAGGGACGGGGGGGGGCAACAAACTCAGCTCTGGGCCTCTCGATAAAGCTGGAGGTCATCAGAGTCATCACTGATTGGAATCCGCTTTCTTCCACTCCTAGGGGTTCTGCCACTCTGGAGACAGGGTGGGTGGGGAGGCCTGTGAGACGACCAGCGACGACGGGGATGGCAGCACCTACCATGCCTGTGATCATCGTCCTCACCACAGCCTGTTCCCGCCCGTTCGCGAAGGTGAATGGGGAGCTGCACAGATTTTTGTAATCTCTTGCAGGAGGCATGTCGTGTGGGTCCACTGGGGCGTCACATAGACTTGCATCACCTCAATGAGGCACCACTCGTCCACAGGGAAGGTCAACCGCACCAGTAGCGCCGATACGAGCCCAGCCACATAACCCATCTCACAGACTTGAAACAAAACCGTCTCCGTCATTGACGATGTCGTAGAAGTCTAACACTTGGAGGTCAAGGTAGTGTTCAGGATCTTCTCAGCTCCACTCTCTGATGATGACTCTGTGTCGAGCTCAGTTCAGAGAGCGCTGCCGTTCACTATATTCAGGACCATCGCCGCCGCCTTGGACTTCTGCTTCTGTACCTGCTTTCTCGGGCAGTGGGCCAACATGCACGTGTTCACGTTCTCCGTGGCGGCCGAGGATATTAGTTGCTTCTCCCCAGGTAACCTTCGGCAACGTCGTCCGCTTGCCCAACAGCGACTGCAACCACCCATGTTCAGCCCGACGCAAGGCTGTGCTCGAGGATGGCCTCAGCCACTGGTGTCGGCGATACGTCTCGAGTCTCCGTTGTTGGGGTGGACGGTTTAGCTTTTTGATCCTTGTCGTCTTCTAAGAGTTTCGTCAGTTATTCTCCGAACGAGTTCTTCATCGCCATGGCCAAGTATTTGCCCTGCTTGCGCAGGCGAAGCTCCTCAGCCCTGTCGTTCTTGTCCTTGATGAACGCCTGGCACTCTGGATCTATTGTGGCCAAGTTCTCCCTCAACTTGTTGAGGTCCGAGGTGGGAGATGTATCATGCGAGCGTGACCTCTGGCGTCGATCCTGGTGGCGATCTGGGTGACGATCTTCTCCATCACGTCCACGGTCACGTTTGTCACGCGATGAGCTTCCACGATCACGGTCCTTGCAGCCCCAACGATCTCCTCCACGGCTTGGGCTGCCCCGATTGTCCCGACTGTCTCCCTTGCGGTCACGATCGTCACGGCGGTCACGGTCACGGTCTCGGTCGCGGTCATTACGTTTCTTTGACGTGTCGTACCACCCATCATAGGAGCGCCACTTCTCCTCGCGGTCATCCCCGCGATGGTTCCACGGTGGGCGGTGTCCTTCTCCACCCATGGTGGCGTTCGTCTCGTATGAAGAACGCCAACGGCGTAGGATCACTCGAGCGTTCTGGATGGCAACGGACCGCGGACAAGCATGCATTGCAGCGCATATTATTTCCAAGGGGTAGCCCACGAGGTATAGCCCCAGGGCCAGCTCCAGGATCCAGGAGACCACAACGGGGACCGACAACTCCAGGAACTGTGCCCGAAACCTGACGACCAGTGAAGAGCGTCACGATCATGTTGAAGCCAGTCGGGGGCCTGCCTGGCCACGGGAGGGTGTCCGTCTTTGGTCGGGGCTTTCGGATGTTTTGTGGAGCCAAATCCTATTGTCGTTCTTGGGGGCAATCCAGAGGGAGGTCCCATGAGGCCACACGTCCAGATCTAGCCACATACACGGGCGTTCAGGATATTCAAAAACACATGCAGGGGAGCGTTTGATTTTGTAAACGCTTGTCAAGCACTTGGACATACACAATCTACACTATACTCTGCTGATGCCTACGGTGCCATCCACATATCTACGCTGACGTACCTCCATCGATCTTGATGCTGATGAGATGGTAAACCCTGAGGAGGTAACGGCGATGACTGATGTGATAACAGCACATGCGTGGCGATATTCCCCTACGGTGCCATACCCACTCACGTATGCGTGCTCGACGGGGGCCTGGCGCCATACCTCGACGGGGGCCGGGCGCCACATGTCCTCGAGGTGCCAGAGCCGCGGGCCGAAGGTCGGGTACGGTAGGTTCGCGTCGTGTCGACCAGCGGCGACCCCAGCGCGGACGTTCAAGGTTGAACGCCGCCGGCGACCCAGAATCGATCGATGTTGAACGATCGGACGTTGCGGCAGCGGCCGATCGTTCAAGGTTGAACGATCCCTGCGGTGTCAAAAACCAACGCTGGGGTCGGCACGACACGAACCTGCCGTACGTCGTCACACTCAGTTGCACCAGACATCTCAGCCACTGATGAGCACGGAATGCCAGATAACTTCGGATAATATCAAACAGGACGTTGTCACCTATGTTGTCGAGGATCGACGGACGCATGGATGAGGCGGGGCACGAAGAGCACACGCGTTGGACTCAAAACACGTACCGTACACTGAGAAGTGCGCGATCCTCAGCTCCCCGTCGCCCATTGCGGGTCGTGTCGAGCCAGGCTTCGAGAGCGTCCTTGTTTGCGAAGCCACCACCGTAGTACAGTACTGCTATCGCAGGCATCGAGCCCTCTGTTGAGGGCGGTGTCACGTGCTGGACTGTGAGCCCCCCTGGATCCAGAACGCATCGAAGTGCCTGAGAAGATAATGGCTGCGGCGGAGAACGACGGGAAGGCGGGCACATGCAGGATGAGGGGGGTGAAGGGGTAGAGGACGATGGACACTCGGGCGGGAGAGAGAGAGAGAGAGAGAGCAAGAGAGAGCAAGAGAGAGAGGGAGACAGCACAGCGCAAACCACCTTGCCCTCGCGCATGCTTGCCCATGTCTTGTCGTCGCTAAGCAGAGGTATGGAGCCAGACCCCCCCTTCCCCCACCTTCCGCCCAATTTCGAAACGCCGAATTACGTTACCGAGGAACTTCACATATTTATCCGTAAGGGCTTCGCCCCCTGCCGCCGGCCCCCTCTCTCGGAGAATGGGCCATGGAAGAGCTAAGTCATGAGGCTTTGGCGCTGTCGTGCAGCAGTATCGGAACTTCATGCGAGGCCGATTCGCAATCGGCAAAACCAACTGATCACAAGAGGGGTTACCACACAGGGCGATTGGTAAGACGTGTATGGTTTACGAGCTTGGTTACCACACCTTGGGATTAAAGGGCCGAGGGAGTACTCGCAGTTTGGGTTACCACGCCTTGCGATGGATGTGCGTGAGGGGTGGCACCGAATTTCAGAAATGTGGCAAATCCCCTGTGTTTTTGGACCCTGACCCCGCGGATCTGCGTGAGGGGTGGCACCGAATTTCAGAAATGTGGCAAATCCCATGTGTTTTTGGACCCTGACCCCGCGGATCTGCGTGAGGGGTGGCACCGAATTTCAGAAATGTGGCAAATCCCATGTGTTTTTGGACCCTGACCCCGCGGA